AGTGAGTGACAGGTTCTAAATAACGGTCGCTTAGAAAAACTCACGCTGGGGGATCACCAGTTAGAATAGTTTAAACTTACTTGTGAAAGGGTTAATAACTACTTTAGCAATTATTACATTAGCTAACTACCAACTAACCAGATAACATTAACAAATTGACAAGCACTTACTGGGCAGAATGGCTCTTCAAATGACGGACGAAATTGGAGGTTGTCGTTTGGCTGTCCGCAATGTTAATGTTGCATGTCTTGCAAAGCGCTGTTCGTCTTTTGCCATCTTGTGAATAATTCTTGAAGCCGAAAGCGATGACCCTCGGTACCCCTCCGGCTGACATTTTGATGTGATGTCTAAGTGGGCGTGGTGTGCGTAAGGTACGAGAGGGCATGACTGATGATAGTGTCGTGATCCAGTCATGACAACGCTATTCTCAGCCTGCGCTCCAGCTGGATCAACTTTTTATTTATTTTTATTTATATATATTTTATATTAAAACTGAAAACATGATGTGATTAACACTCAAGTCATTCAAGTCATCGTGTCTCAAGTCAAGTCCCGAGTCTTTAACTTCCAACTCCGAGTCAAGTCTCAAGTATTTCATTTTATGTCAAGTCAAGTCACAAGTCCTAAAAATAGCGACTCGAGTCGACTCGAGTCCAAGTCACAAGTCCCTATGTCTGATAATTTACCTCAACAAGGCAACATAATGAACGACACTCGTCTCATTCGTGGAGGTGGAAAAACAAGTTCTTTGTGACATGCAAGATTTGTTGTATTAAAATGTAAATGCAAAAGAAAAGGCATGAGAGTCGGTTGTTTTTGTCAATTTTAAGTTTTAATTAAAAATGTTTGCGATTTTAATATAAGTACATGGTTACATATTTGACCACTTGCTTGAGCAACTTAATATATAGTGTGTGTGGTACAGCCGCGGATCAGTTACGCACTGCAAACGCCGCATATAAAGCACTATAGCGCGTCCTGCTTCTGTACCGTACACGCACCGCACACGCATTGCACACGGATTATGTGTGAAACCTGTGGTAAAATGATGGGAACAGACTTTTCTGTGGGGAGTTGGCTAAAAGTTTAGCCTATTTATCCTAGCTCGTTCTGGCAACCACAGCTGACGTTTTTTTATCGTAAAAATTACGTTTTATTTTTTAGGCACTTAAATTACATTTTTAAGTTCATTGAGTATCCGACAGGATATTTGAGGCACCTTTTTTTTTTTTTTTACAGTACACAAAAATCATTGCTAATTTTATGAATGGTTTCAATTAGTTCAAATGCATAATTATCTGTTTGGCTTAGTTTATATATATATATATATATATATATATATATATATATATATATGTATATATATATATATATATATATATATATACACTCACCGGCCACTTTATTAGGTACCCCATGCTAGTAACGGGTTGGACCCCCTTTTGCCTTCAGAACTGCCTCAATTCTTCGTGGCATAGATTCAACAAGGTGCTGGAAGCATTCCTCAGGGAGTTTGGTCCATATTGACATGATGGCATCACACAGTTGCCGCAGATTTGTCGGCTGCACATCCATGATGCGAATCTCCCGTTCCACCACATCCCAAAGATGCTCTATTGGATTGAGATCTGGAGACTGTGGAGGCCATTTTAGTACAGTGAACTCATTGTCATGTTCAAGAAAACCAATTTGAAATGATTCGAGCTTTGTGCCATGGTGCATTATCCTGCTGGAAGTAGCCATCAGAGGATGGGTACATGGTGGCCATAAAGGGATGGACATGGTCAGAAACAATGCTCAGGTAGGCCGTGGCATTTAAACGATGCCCAATTGGCACTAAGGGGCCTAAAGTGTGCCAAGAAAACATCCCCCACACCATTATACCACCACCACCAGCCTGCTCAGTGGTAACAAGGCATGATGGATCCATGTTCTTATTCTGTTTACGCCAAATTCTGACTCTACCATCTGAATGTCTCAACAGAAATCGAGACTCATCAGACCAGGCAACATTTTTCCAGTCTTCAACTGTCCAATTTTGGTGAGCTCTTGCAAATTGTAGCCTCTTTTTCCTATTTGTAGTGGAGATGAGTGGTACCCGGTGGGGTCTTCTGCTGTTGTAGCCCATCTGCCTCAAAGTTCGACGTACTGTGCGTTCAGAGATGCTCTTCTGCCCACCTTGGTTGTAACGGGTGGTTATTTGAGTCACTGTTGCCCTTCTATCAGCTCGAACCAGTCTGGCCATTCTCCTCTGACCTCTGGCATCAACAAGGCATTTCCGCCCACAGAACTGCTGCTCACTGGATGTTTTTTCTTTTTCGGACCATTCTCTGTAAACCCTAGAGATGGTTGTGCGTGAAAATCCCAGTAGATTAGCAGTTTCTGAAATACTCAGACCAGCCCTTCTGGCACCAACAATCATGCCACGTTCAAAGTCACTCAAATCACCTTTCTTCCCCATACTGATGCTCGGTTTGAACTGCAGGAGATTGTCTTGACCATGTCTACATGCCTAAATGCACTGAGTTGCCGCCATGTGATTGGCTGCTTAGAAATTAAGTGTTAACGAGCAGTTGGACAGGTGTACCTAATAAAGTGGCCGGTGAGTGTATATATATATATATATATATATATATATATATATATATATATATATATATATATATATATATATATATATATATAGTATTGTTAGATGCCAATCATAAGACCTGTGAGAAATAAGCAAATAATTCAGGAATATATGACATAAATGCACTTAGATCATAATCTTGTACAGCAGTTGTCATTCACATTTTGACTATTAACAAGAGAATGACAAATCTAACCTTTGGTACAACAAAAATATGATATTTGATAAACAGATCTCACTTGTTTTCTTTTATTAAAGCTATGGTATACGATTTTGAAAATCGGTCGAGAAAGCCTGAATTTTTAAAAAACTCATCCCGCCCCTCCACACACACATCCCTCCCCTCTGTGCGACCTGATCCCTCCCACCGGGAAACGAACTGAACTATGTCACTCAGTCAAGCTGTGATCACCGGTACTAAACATCGGAACTGAGATGTAATGTCAGTTCATGTAATGTTCAATCTAATGACCTCGCTAATGACACATATGTAAAATTGCCTTTAGACACTTGAACTTAGTTGCTTCATCAACAATTCAATGTCACGTTTGAGTTCACGTCAACGCAAGATTAGCAACACATGAAATGTTCTAAACTCCCCACCACCATTAGTATAATACTACTAGTATTGCTAAGGTTTTCAGTAATTGTTATTGCAGCACACAGCGCATCTTGTTCAAATTTCGATCGGCTCGAACAGAAACCCACTAGGCCTACTGAAATATATTCAAGGACTTCAAGAAATATAATTACTTTGACCCGTGATAGGCGATGCTAAACGGCTACCATTCCAATGCCTACCGGCAACATTAGCAAGTTGTCAAACTGATAAAAAGCTATTTTTGTAACACGTCCATAAAAGTATAAATAAATGTTTACCTGCTCAACAAAAAGTCAGCCGTGTCAGCGTCGGTCTTTAGTCCCAGATCTTCCTGAAGCTTCCTCCAACGGTCAATGGTGGACCCTATATTTATATCCTACTCAAAGTTCGGCGTTCTTCACATTTTTTTTTTTATCTCTGCTCGTTCCTCTAATGACTTTCTCTTTCGTCCTTACTTTACTGTAGGGGCAAGCAGGGGACGCTTGCTGCTGTCTTTTTTTTTTATCCATTGCTGATATGCTACTTAGCTAGCTACCATAGACTGTCAGCTGCTTGCTCGCGCAATTTCATGACGCAGGAGGGGGGGCGGCGGCGGGTGCGGTGGGGTGGAGACGCGAGCGCCAGGCGGAGTTTCAGTGGAGCTGGTGATTGGATGAGAGCAGTTGACCAATGTAAGCTGTCCGGCCGGACAGCTTACATTGGTCAACTTCTCTGCGGCTGTACAGCCAATAGAGTGAATGGATTTTTTTCATTCTTTTTTCTATTCATATTGTTAGGATTGTACTATATAACCATAACTAGCATCTAAACGAGGATATTAATAATGAACAATCTTTGAAATCGTATACCCTAGCTTTAAATCAGGGTTCACTTGAAAATTCACATTTATCCTCCAGAACTCATTCTAACAACTTAATATGTTTTAATGTTTCAGACTCGATGGAAGTGAAAGAGCAAAGACAAAAACTGAAGTTAAAGGTGATGATGCTGTAGTTTGTTTCAGCCTGTTGACACCAATAAAACGATTTAATGTGCCAATTTACAGAAGATCTCAGACATCACCATAATGAATGAGCTGAAAACAGGGAACTTTTGGAGACAAAGAGGTTTTTCAGCTGCTCAGTTTAACATGATGGCCCTGTACTTTTTAAATGCAGATTGGATAAAAACACAGTGATCACAGTTCACACCTGCAGTGAAGCCCCTCCCACAACAATTCACCAATAAATACTGGGAATATTCCCATCATCCTACAAGAGAAGGACAAACTCCAGGAGTAGCAGCTGAAATCTGTGTGACTGTTAAAGATGGAGTTTATTAAAGAGGAGATTGAAGACATGAGTGATCCAGAACCATCCAGAATAAAACATGAAGATACTGAGGAACAAATAGGTTGGTGTCCATTCTTGATTCTTCATTGTTGATGCTTTGGTAGATGTGAATTAATAAGCAGTATATGGATGATAAATGATAGAAAACCCTCATAACCTTTAGCAGTTGTCAAACAAATTAAGCTATGTTAACAAGAGAATGACAGAACAAAAAGTGAAAGATCTGATCTCTGTTGTTTTCTGCTATTAAATAAGGATTCACTTAAACTGATTCTAACTGTATTTCTGTGTATTTTAGACCAGGTGAGAGTGAAAGAGCAAAGACGAGAACTGAATGAATTGGAGGAGGAACATCGTAACTTTACAATTCAAAGAACAAAAGCCAAAAAGACGCACACCTGCACTCAGTGTGGAAAGAGTTTCACACATAAAGGAGACCTTAAAATACACATGAGAATTCACACTGAAGAGAAACCGTATACATGCACTCAGTGTGGAAAGAGTTTTTCTCAAGTATCAACTCTCAGTGTTCATCTGCGCATTCACTCTGGAGAAAGGCCATTTAACTGTAATCAGTGTGGTAAAGATTTTATTTCATCATCAAAACTAACAGATCACCTAAAAGTTCATTCAGATGAGAAGCTTTATGTGTGCTCTCTCTGTGGAAAGAGTTTTTCATGGCTGAACAGTTTTAAACAGCACCAGAAAACACACAATGAAGTGAGAGATTATATGTGCTTTGACTGTGGGAAGAGCTTTACTAGAGCTGAGCATCTGAAACAGCACCAAAGAATTCATACTGGAGAAAAACCTTACAAGTGCTCATATTGTGACAAGAGATTCAATCATTCTGGATCCCTGAAATTACACAAGCGAGTTCATACTGGAGAGAAGCCGTACGACTGTACTCAGTGTGGGAAGAGTTTCTCCTACTCATGTAATCTAGTGACTCATATTAGAAAGCATTGTTCTGTGTCACAGTGAGCAAATGTTTTGTTAGATTCACATAAAGTAAATGTGTAGTTAGTTAACTAATAAACTAGTGTTGCTGTGAAATGCCACAAGATTTGTGTTTTATAAGTTGGAGAACAAGAATATTATTGATGTAGCACCCTGCTAAATTTATATATTGTTTCTTTTGTGTTCTGCTAACAGAAATATAGTAGCTATATCCTGAAATATGGGCCAGTTCAATTGTCCCTGGTAACACCTTTTCTTTTTTGTTTTTGTATTAATATGTGTTAATAAATTGTGAGGTGTTGAAAGATGAAGATTTCATTTTTCAGCACGACCTGGCACCTGCTCACAGTGCCAAAACCACTGGTAAATGGTTTACTAACCATGGTATTACTGTGCTCAATTGGCCTGCCAACTCTCCTGACCTGAACCCCATAGAGAATCTGTGGGATATTGTGAAGAGAAAGTTGAGAGACGCAAGACCCAACACTCTGGATGAGCTTAAGGCCGCTATCGAAGGATCCTGGGCCTCCATAACACCTCAGCAGTGCCACAGGCTGATTGCCTCCATGCCACGCCGCATTGAAGCAGTCATTTCTGCAAAAGGATTCCCGACCAAGTATTGACTATTGAGTGCATAACTGAACATAATTATTTGAAGGTTGACCTTTTTTTGTATTAAAAACACTTCTTTTATTGGTCGGATGAAATATGCAAATTTTTTGAGACAGGAATTTTGGGTTTTCATGAGCTGTATGCCAAAATCATCAGTATTAAAACAATAAAAGACCTGAAATATTTCAGTTGGTGCGCAATATCCTTACATTATGGAAAATAATGAACTTTATCACAATATGCAAATTTTTTTAGAATGACCTGTATATAAAATCATCATTTATGGGCTACTTTCAATTAGGAGGTGGCTGTCCCAAACCCTAAATTTCAACTTGTGAAAATGATATTGAAAAAAATTTAGCAAATTTTTCCATTCTTGTTTTAAAATATATATATTTTTGTGGGTTTTTTTTAAATAATGGTTTGATTTTTCTGGTTTAGAGGAAACTATCTCCATAAATAGTTTAATCACATGGTGACGGTTCACACTGCGTTTGTTTTCTTACTGTGTGTGTTTTAACGCATCACTGGAGATTTATCTTGTGGATTTTTTGTTTGTTATTTGGACTTACTATATTTAAACTATAATACTTTGTTTGTAGACTGAACTACGAAAGGGTATTTTGGTCTTTAATGTTTCGGTTTTCGGAGTCATTCAGCGCCTCCTGGTGGAAGAATCGGAGTGTTTGCTGCTCAATGCGACACTCGCATGGGCCGTACGGTAGATGTTTACTACAGTTCTGAACACGTTTGCGGCAGCAACATGGCAGTGGACAGCGTGAGGATCTTTTGTAAACAAATGCGAAATTCATATATGTCTGTTTAATATTTAGTGTTTAGGTAATTATAATATGAGTAGTTATTATTACAAGCACATGACTACATTTCTATTGCACTACAGTGCCGAGAATATCGTGTAATTTGTCTGAGCAAAGTTTATTTTCGATACATGAAGGATTTACCTTATTAATCATTTGGTCAACAATTTATGTTCTGCTTTTCTAATTAAGTAGATTATAAAATAACATAATTTTTTCTTGTGTTTCTGTTTCTGAACATGACATGTTTCTGATATTCCATGCTATTTTTCGTTAGGAATAATACTACATGGCTTGGTAGAATTCCAATGTAGAATGCGGTCTGTTATTTATGATATCAGACACACTGTTGCTGAAAAACAGAGCGTTGCCATGGACGCAATTCAGAGACGGAACGGACTATTTTCTTTAGCGAAAGCAATACAATCGTTTTAAATCGATAAACTCCTTTTTAAATCAATATTTTGTGTTAAATTATTGATTTATTTGGTAGGTAGCCATGTAATAAGCGGGATAATGTATAGCGAGGCGGTTGTTAAATAGCGAATACAAACCCTTCGCGTCGGCTCATAATCTGTCGGGGTGGCATTCGCTATAACAACCGCCTCTCTATACATTATCCCTTACATATTTCTTCGACTGTAGATTAAATAAAGATGCTGTCAGAAGTGCATTATTTCAGTTTTTAGTTTTATTTATTTTCATTATATTGTTCCCAGAGCATAAGGTCATTTTATTCATCAGTCAGTTAAATTTGTTTTAGACAAACATGAAGATCGGTTGTTATTTAAACATTAATTTCTATATTATGCTGACTTTTTTTTTTTACATTACTTGGTTACAGTTTCTTCAAATTTTGGTTGATATTGAAAATTGAAAATTCACATTTATCCTCCAGAACTCATTCTAACAACTTAATATGTTTTAATATTTCAGACTCGATGGAAGTGAAAGAGCAATGACAAGAACTGCAGTTAAAGGTGATGATGCTGTAGTTTGTTTCAGTCTGTTGACACCAATAAAACGATTTAATGTGCCAATTTACTGAAGATCTCAGAGATCACCATAATGAATGAGCTGAAAACAGGGAACTTTTGGAGACAAAGAGGTTTTTCAGCTGCTCAGTTTAACATGATGTTCCTGTACTTTTTAAATGCAGATTGGATAAAAACACAGTGATCACAGTTCACACCTGCAGTGAAGCCCCTCCCACAACAATTCACCAATACATACTGGGAATATTCCCATCATCCTACAAGAGAAGCACAAACTCCAGGAGTAGCAGCTGAAATCTGTGTGACTGTTAAAGATGGAGTTTATTAAAGAGGAGATTGAAGACATGAGAGATCCAGAACCATCCAGAATAAAACATGAAGATACTGAGGAACAAATAGGTTGGTGTCCATTCTTGATTCTTCATTGTTGATGCTTTGGTAGATGTGAATTAATAAGCAGTATATGGATGATAAATGATCGAGAAATACATCCAAATGATCATAAACTCGTATATAGCAGTTGGCAAACATATTTTTACTATATTGACAAGTGAATGACAGAACAAAAAATTAAAGACCTGATCTCTGTTGCTCTCTGCTATTTAATAAGCGTGTAGCATCCAGTCAATATTGAGAAGGCCAGAACTGATGGTTAAATTACTTTTATTGCTTTCCTTGTCATCAACCAACGTAAGAGCTGTGTGAAACACAAATAAACCATGCATTACCATCACATTTCGAACGTTACACAGCTCATTACATTAGTTTCAATACGATAGCATCACCAAATTATACATTTTACGATAAACATTTCAAGTAGGCTAGCTCAAATATATTTCTCATTAACTCTACAAACCTTGTTCCCCAATTGACCGAAGCTAAACCTTGTAATTTAACTGTTTGTAACCGTGAACCTTTTCAGACTTTCCTTTCGTCCTTTCCGCCGTTTTCCAGATTCATTTGCGTCACTACACTTCCGGTTCCTTTGGTTATCAAAATAAAAGCCCGATACCGTAATAATAAACCCTTATAATAATAATAATAAACCCTTAAAAATAGTGCTTAACTACTCTGTTGGCTTTTACACTCCCACCAAATTATTTGCTGTTACACACATAAAAACACAAATAATTTCTTCAAGTTACTTAACCAGAATACAGAAATAACCTTGTAAACATGTTACAACTGTTACTTCAACATTTCAATACACTTAAGCATTGTACATTTACCTTTCACAATCTTCTAGTAGCAGAACTAACTTATGTACTACATATGGGTTCTACTACAGACATTTTGTTCACACGTTGACCCCTTTTGGTAAGATTTCTGTCTGTAAAGCCTATTTTGACCTTTCTGACAAGTTTCCACTGTGATCGTGGTTGCATTTCATCCTTGTCCATTACTATGTCGCCTATCTGCATTTTTCTTTTAGGCTTGTGCCATCTTTGTCTGACATTATATTCTGCAAGTACTCCCTTTTCCATCTGCTCCAAAACTGTTCGAGCAAGTACTGTACTTGACGCCATCGTTTTTGTGCATACAAGTCCTCCTTGACGTACTGTCCTGGGGGAGGCAGAGGAATTGAGGTTTTCATTGTGACAAGATGATTTGGAGATAGCGGCTCCAAACTGTTTGGATCATTGAGACTGTCTGTTGTAAGGGGGCGGCTGTTTACTATAGCAGCTGCTTCATACAAGAAGGTTCTGAGTGAAGAGTCGGTGAGTCGACCTGGTGTGAGAGCCAATGTTGCATTAAGAACGTTTCTCACAGTCCGTATCTGTCGTTCCCATACTCCACCTGCGTGACTAGCATGAGGTGTGTTTAGGACAAAGTCGCATTGTTTTTCTGCAAGAAAGGTTGTCAGTTTGTCAGTGTCAATTTCGCCTTGTGCTGCATTCAGTTCGATTTTTGGCACCTACGAAGTTAGTACCCTGATCGCATTTTATTTGTCTGACAGAGCATCTTAGAGCAATGAAGCATCTGAGTCCATTTATAAAGGCCTCCGTTGATAGATCCTCTAACATTTCAACATGAATTGCACGTGAATAAAAGCATGTGAAAAGGAGGCCATACCTTTTATATTCTTTCCTTGCTTGTTTGGTCAGGAACGGTCCAAAAACGTCCATACCACAGTATGTGAAAGGCGGAGAGTGTTCAATTCTTTCTGTGGGTAAGTCTCTCATTTTTTGTCCTTCCACAGGTCTCCTTTGTTTCCGACAAAACACTCACTGGCGAATGTAGGATGCAACCGTTTGACTCAACTTTGGGATCCAATAGCCATTGGATCGTATCTCATTCATTGTGAAGCCCTTTCCCTGATGATTGACCCTTTCGTGGCAGTGGGCAATTATCAGTTTTGTGACGTGATGTTCTCTGGGAATGATTGTTGGATGTTTAAATGAGCTGGAAAGAGATGAGTGATGGAGCCTTCCTCCCACCTTAAGCACATTGTCCTTGTCTAAGAGAACATCCAAGTTGTACATTTTGTTGTTCTTTGGAAGTTGTTTGCCTTTGTTTAATGTCTCTATTTCGTTTTGATATGCTTGTCTTTGTACGTCTTTGATTATCACCATTTCTGTGTTTTGTCTTTCAGTTACAGTTGTGAGTGTCTTTGATTTGTCTTTGAGCAGGTATCGTCTGAGACGTCCGACTGCGCTGACTGCACGGGACCAGGATGAGAACTTTGTGAGCCGGTCACTAAGGCTTGTATGTTCAATCGTTTCTGTGTTTAGTGTCTGTACCTTTCTCACCTCTTGGTCTCCTACTGTAAGTACAATGGTCTCTTTTGTTGGAAGCTGTATTTTCTTTTCCCACAGGAAGTGAGGGCCTGTGAACCAACTAGATGAAAGCAGTTCATTTACAGATGTGCCCCTGGATGCCATATCT